ACACATCTTCTTCCACTGTCAGCACAGAGGGCTTGGGCAGACCAGAAGGCCAAACCAGGGGCCAAATTGTCCTTGCCCTTCCCCCACCACCTTAGCCCTAACAGAGGCTGTCTTCTCAGAGACCTAAGCAGGACCCAGGCCAGTCCCGAAGTCAGGTTACTGATGAATGCTGGTTGACCAGTGGGCTGACAACCTCTGGCTTTGGCTTGCTGGAGGTGTCCACATTGCCTGAGGCTGTCCCAGGAACCTCCAGTTCCTGCTCTGCTTTCTGCTTGTGATGACAAGGTTCCACCTACTCTGAGGATCACCAGGAGAAGGCTTGCCTAACATGTGGCTTTGTGCCAATCCTCTGACCCAGTCAGCAGGCTCACAGCCTAAGAAGCAACTGGAAATAGTGTCTAAGTGTGGGTGGCTTAGTGGGGCTCTGAGAAGTATCCAGTGGGGGTGGGGCAGAGATAGGGGACCCTGGGTCTTCTCAACCTGGTCTTGGATAGAGTCAGATGGCTGTAAGGAGAGAAAGAACAACACAAGAAGTTCCACTCACCTTCTCTTCAGGGACAAGGAGTTGCCTAAAGTGACCCTTGGCTGGGATGTGGGCCAGCCCCACCCCTCACTCTCCAGAGTGCAATTTTTAACACCCTCCGTTTATCCTTTTTTTAAAAAAACAAAGCCACCAAAAGTCCTTCTAAACACATGGTAGATCCTCTCACACTCAGCAGTCCACAGGTCCTGTCCAAGGCAGGTCCTGCTTGTACCCACAGCTCCTATCCAAGGCAGAAGTGAGATTTCCCAGAGATGCTTCTCAACTCATTTCCAGGGTAAACCTCACACTGCTTGCCTCTGCCTGGAGTCCTCCCTATCATGTGCAGGGGATGCATGGCTGGCCTGTTCCAGACCAACCTGGGAGCTGGAGCTGGGATCCAAAACCAGTCACCCAGCATGGACCCAACTTTGTCAGTGCAAATGGTCTGTGGTTAGGCCCAGAGAAATTTGCTTTGAAAACGCCAGTTCCTAGGCAGCCTGGGTCAAACTCCTGCACTGTCCTTTCTCATGTCTGCTCCCTCTTCCCTGGGATACCTTGTCTTATCCTCTTAGTCAAGCTGCAGGCTGCTCAGTCTTCAGAGCTCAGTGAAAAGGGTCACTTTGTTTGTGAAGCCTTCATTGGGTGGTTAGGCTGGATCAGGCTCCTTTGCTGTGTCTTAACAATTGCTCACTCATTCATTCCTTCACGCACGCCCACAGCAAATACACACTGCTCTCTACTGTTTGCTAGCCCTGAGCTAGGCTCTGGTAGTCTGGGCAGACAAGGCCTCTGTCTCCGGAGCTCATAGGGCAAAGCCCCTCGGTCTGGGAGTCGCACCCAGCCGGCTGCGCTCCTGGAAATCTGTCTCAGGCGGGTCTGGCCACTCTGGCTCCACCTGGTTCCCCCAATATCCATGCCCCTTGTCTGCCTGGATGATTGCGCCCCAGCCACATGTTGGAGGCTTGGGGCCCCCGCGCCGCAGTCCCTCCTTTGTTACGATCGCCCCTTCCCCCAGGCACGTGATCAGCCTCACTGGGCTGGACTTGGCAGACACAGGCTGTGCCGCGGGGACAGAGGCTGAGCCTCTGAGACAAAGATTGCGCAGCAGTTGCTGCGCGCGCCTGGATTCGCCGCGCTCTGCGCTGCAGCCCCCACTCGGCCTTGAATCTGGCAAACAAATCTATTTTTTAAATCAAATGAAGGCAGACATTCTCTTCCCCAAAACGTTTTCCCCTCTGGGACGGGGGAGGAGCAGACAGCGCTGCCAGGATGCAGAGCCGGTGATGGACAGTGGACGTGGAAGCGCGCGCAGCGGGCCTCGGCGCAGGAGAGGAGCCCGCGGTCTGCACATCATTGTTTACTCTTCGAGCTCGAGCGAAAGGCTCAGCCCTTTGGATACACCGGCGTTTTGCCGCAGCGGAGCCGGGCGCGTGGTACCGCCAGCCCCGCCGGGCACAGCCCTCCAATCCGGTCCTCTCGGGCCCTGCATTGCAGCTGTGGGCTGGCGTGCGCGCGAGGACACGTGTGTCCCGGGTGTGCCGTGTGTGCACGCGCCGCAGCGCGCCCTGCCCTGTTCTCTTGCTGCTGCAGCCCTCTCGCTGCTGCAGCCCTCTCGCTGCTGCAGCTTTCACGCCCCCTCCGCCTGGTCGGCGAGGCACAAATTTCTCGCGGAACCTGCTCTGACTGAGGATTTGCTCAGGAACCTTGGGGGCGGGGGGCGGAGCTGAGGCTCTGCAGAGCTGGGAGCTGAGGGCAGAGAGAGAGAAAGCTTCAACTGGCCGCTGCAGCATCTTTCCAACTACAGGAGTTCACTGCCAAGTCAAGGGACTGGCTGGAGCGCCAGGGATCCCCCATTTTCCCGGCTGGCTATCCCAGCAGCCCCGGGGGCAGATTATGCCGCTGGTGGTGGGGCTGCAGGGCTGCTCCCGCACCCCCCACCCCCTAGTCCTGTTATCATTTATCAGGCTGGTGACCTGCTGAGAAAATGATCCCTGGGTGAATAAGGCACTTGTATTCATGTATTCATGAAGGAACCAGGCAAACTCCACTCTTCCCACAGGGGAAACCAGAGGCTTCTCCCGCTTGGTTGAGTTTCACAGGTTCTTTGCCCCAGACCCTATCCTCCCTCCATTACTTGAAAGGACAGCTGGCCAAGACCAGAGGGTCCGAGATGGATGGGGAAACTTCAGGGCTCTGCTCTGCTCTCTGCAGGGAGCCTGGGCCATGATGGATGACTAACTGGCACCATCCTTCCCTGAGCCAGGCTGGGCCAGTCCAATTCAGCAGAGTCCAAGCCACTGTGGCACCAACATCCCCCTAGCTGTGCCCAGGTCAGTGGCAGCACAGGGCCAACACTCCTCAGAGACCAAATCCTCAGTGCCAGATGGAGGTTGGCACTGTCACATTTCCTCCCTAGCCTGTCATCTCTGAGTCCTGCCAGAGCGAGGAGGGTGCTTATTTCAACCTGGAGGGCTAGCGATGGCAGAACTCGAAGTCTCCAGGGAGGAGATTGCCAGGGAGCAGGTGCCCAGCATGGCAGTAAGCTCATCGCCTGAGAGTGCTTTTATCATGAAGCAGTGAGGGCAGCTCCCTTTCCTGGACTCTGCACAAGCACCCTCCCCAAAGTCAGCCTGCCGGCACAGCTTGCGCCCTGAGCTTCCTGGGGCAGCTGCCTTTCCGAGGCTTGGTGCGCTGCCTGCCGAGACTTGCTCTCTGAAAAGGATCCACCTCCCAGGCAAGCTTTTCACCCAGCAGCCTTGAATCTGCCCCCCGCCCAGTGAGGCAGACCAGGTCACTCAGGGAGAGCCAAGGCTCTGCAGAGTCCCCGGCTCTGGTCCCCACTTGTTTTCCAAACTTGAAACCGGATGTCCTGAACAGGAGCCCCTGTCACCCTCCCCTTCTCTGTTACATTCTGCAGGCCAGGGCCATAGCCCCACCTGGCTCCCTCTGCAGCTAGGAATGCTGCCAAGGCCCTGTGGTGCTCCCAGGCAGCTGAGGCCAGGGTACGGATGCCTGCTGACCCAGAGCCACCTCTGGAAACAGCTCCTAAGGGTTCGCCGGCCAGGGAGGCTGTAGGCACCCTGTCTACTGCTGGGGCCAGGCTGGGAGGAGGCCAAGCTCCGCATGCAGGCACTCAGGAAAGCTGCCCAGGGCATGGGCCCAAGCCCAGAAGTCCTTCCCACAGCTAGCAGCAAGGCACAGTCTGAGAAGGACAGACAGAAGGGGCTGTCATAGGTGGGGGTGGGGTGATTAAGCAACAGACCCTATTCAGGACCTGGTGTTGCAGACCAGGGAGGTCTCTACCGAGGTTCCTCACTGCCTAGCACCTCAGCTGGCTGTCCTGCTCCTGAGGTCTTGTCAAGCAACTCCTTGCACCCTGTCCCCTATGCAGAGAGCAAACTGTTGGCTCAGCTCCTAAGCTCCAGTGAGTCCTATGGCCAGGCTGGGAAAGACAGTTATGGACCCAGGCAGTACACATCCTGTCATTGGCAGCTTCTTTCTCCAGAGCCTCAGATGCCCAAGGGTGGCAGCCAGCACAGAGCCACCTTGTGGGTGCAGCTGGCTCTTGGAGCCCTGCCTTTCCTTGGCTAGCAGGTCCTGTCTTCTCCCTTTTTGCCAAGAGGAAGCCCCGGCTCTCCTCCCTGTGCCGCCAGCATGACCCTGGGCTTGTGTCAAAGGTCCTGTTAGGCAGCTGCTTAAGTCAAGGAGCATGTGGTGAAAGTGGCTGAAGGCTTCCACAAGGAGGCTGGCAGAAGCACTCACACACATCGGCTCACCTACCCAGGCCTCAGGATCTAAGAGAAGCCACCTTGAGCCATCTTAACTCAGCGTCACACTGCTTGCTTCTCTAGGAGGCTTGAGGCTTGAGTGCAGCTGGCAGGTGGTGCCTCTGCTCCAGGGAAATCCTGGAGACAGCTGGAAGTGGCAGCCCAGGGCACTCGGACCCTGCTCCTCAGGATCTGTCTGTGGACAGGAGGACCTTGGGGTCTTTCAGGAGTCTTCTGTGGACAGGGTGACCTCTTGGTGACTCAGGATTTGTCTGTGGAAAGGGGGACTTCAGGGCCCTTCAGGGGTCTGTCTGTAGACATGGGGACCTTGGGAGGGGTGCTTCAAGGGTCTGTCTGTGGATGGAGGGAAATTGGGGCCTCTTGGGGGGTCTGTGTTGGGGGCTCCTCAGGGATTCATCTGGCCACTCAGACACCCTGGCTGGCAGGAGTGACAGGCATAGGCCCAGCTTCACCTATTTCATTCTGTCTCAGGGCCAGACAAAAATTGAGGGCAGGTCCAGCCAGTGGCCAGACATGGCTGCCCAACTGTGGAGACACACATAGCCAGATGGAGGAAACTCACCTCTCCCCAAAACCTCCAAGAAGGAACCAGGAAAACTGGGCACTCTCTCCTTTCCATATCTTGTGCCCAGAGCCCACAGGGATCCCTCTTTTACCACCTGGCCAGGTGACCCGAGCGCTGTCCTTACCGTCCAACGACAGCCAGTCGTGCTGGGAGGAAGGGAGAGTGGGCAGCGCCCGGGCTTTGTACTCAAACACCACTGAGTTGGAGATGATCTGGTTGTTGAAGGCAACTTGTAGGGTCACAAGACCAGTGTCATGGGCTGGAAGCAAAAAAGAGAGTGTCAGGGCATGGGGTGGGTAGTACTTACTCTCAGCCCAGTATGCCACACTGGAACCTGGGTGCCACCTCCCCACAGTACTTCCTAGGTTAATGTCTGCATATCCTTAATTCTAGTCTGCACTTGCTCATTCCTCAAATCCCAAACATGATGCTACTTCTTTCAGGAAGGTTTCTCTCCCCAGACTCAGTTGTTGTTGTTGTTGTTGTTATGTGCCATCGAGTTGGACTGGACTCATAGCAACCCCTCCTTGGGTTTCCAAGGCAGTATCACTATTGGAAGTAGATTGTCCAACCTTCCTTCTGAGGAGTGGCTGGTGGGTTTGAACCACCAGCCTTCTGGTTAGCAGTCAAGTGCCTTAGGCACTATGCTACCAGAGCTCCCAGACTCAGTTGGGAGCCCTATTATCACCCTTCATCACAGCAGGCCTCACTATGTTGTAACTGTCTGCCTGTTCATCTGCTCCCTAACATGTCGTTTCCTCAGTGAGGGCAGAGACTGGGAGATCAATATAGATTTGTCAAATAACATGAATGAAAGAATGAATGAAGATCTCTACCCTTACCCAATGGCTAGCTGGCTTCTGCCCTTGTTCCACCCATCCTAGGTAGAATTTTCTTTGGACTCCTTTACCCTTGTTTCTCTGTGTCATCTTTTGTGAGGACAAAGTTTGTCCGCACTCAATTCCATATATTTTTAGAAGTTCTTCTGCCGCCCTGATGAAAGCAGGAGCTTCGGCTGTGTCTGTTACTCTAGTCCCACAGAGTGTGGTCCCAGTGGGCACTCGGCCGGAGGTGCTGGCATGAAGTATGCACCTCCCTCCAACAGCCAGGTGATAAGCTTCCAGAAGACAAGGCTCTTGTTGGCCTGATTCACTGCCCAGGTCCCAGCACAGAGCTCAGCAGATACTGTCATTGTTGAATAAATGAATGGAAAGCTTTCATACTGCCTGCAAGATGAAAGCCAACGCACAGTGGAGCCCTGCTAAGTCCTGGGGTTGATTGAGGCCATTGCTTGTGCTCTGTAGAAATCTCCAGGGTTGGCCTGTGGTCCACAAGGTGGTTGTGGACTATGGTGGGTGTGCAGGCTGTCCTGGCCTGCCTGGCTTCATCCTCTGGTTGCCGTCAGTGTTATGTGCTCTCTCTGTCCTGCTTTTCTGGAACACCAGGTGCCCAGGGCCTCCCCAGGACAGATTTCTAGGAGGACACATGTGGGGATCACATTACTGTTTGGGCGCTTGGTTTTCAGAAGCTTACAGACTCAAAGGATGGTGTCCAAGTCAGCTGTTCCTGGGGCAGAGTGAAGCCCCGGTTTTCCTCCCATAAAGGTTAATGCAGATTCCATTTCTGATGGGAAAATAACTTGTGACTTGTAGTCTCATTCTTCTCCAGTCTATACATTTCAAGGAAATGGCCATCTTGCTGCTGTTCCCAGAGTAGGTCTTCAGGACAGCACTGCCTAAGGTTCCTTTCCCCTGTGCTTCCCACCCTGGCTTGACCCAGCCCTGCGCCACAACCTAAGCCACCTGGATCCAGGATAGGGGAGTTACCCAGGACCTTCAGTGGCACCTCTCTGGGAAGGCACCTCCAGCCAAGTCCAGAACCTCTTGTGGCTTGGATGGCTTCCCTAGGCAGACTTCCAAGTTTGTGGTCACTCTCCTCCTTGGAGATTTGACTGGTTTGTCAGCAGAAGGGAAGGGTGGTCAGCACACATACCTTCACCTGAGTCCACTCTGCTCTGCTTAGCAAGACTTTACCCCTCGGCCAGCCCTTGGGGGGCTTAAGGCTTCCATGGTACCAAATGTCCTAGCCACAGGGCCTCCTTAGTTGCTGCTCCTCTCCCACCCTCCCTCTCCTGGCATGGATACAGCCTGCAGTGATGCTGGCATGGTGCCAGATTTGAAGGCATCCCTTTCCTCCCCCAGAGAGATGGAGTGGAGAGGGCCCATTGTGGTCTCCTGGGTCCAGCCCAGAGGCCTAGCCATGCAGGATTAAACTCAGAATCTTCCATGTTTTTCTTCTGCCTTCAATCAGTCCATCAGGGAGCCTGGCCAGTTCTACCCACTCAGAGAATCCTCCATCCACCCACTTCTCTTGGTCTTGGTCCAAGCCACCATCATTTCTTGCCTAGACCCCTGCATTAGTTTCTTGCTGAGGGTAACCTTAACACACCTGGGACCTGTGCCTGCTGGAATAATGTGTGTGTGGGAGAGCCATATTCCAACCTTCCTTCAAGGAGACTAGTGAGAGTATTCATTGTCCAAGGGCGGGCACCCAGGAAGTGTTTCTTTTTAGGTCAGAAAAGATTACCCCCATTTCTACCCTCTTCCAGTGGTTTCCTTGCTTCCATTCTCACACTTCCCTCCCACCATCCTTTCCCCCACACACCCAGCATCATCTTTTAAAGACATAATTTAGATCATGCTACTCTCCCACTTAAAACTGTCTAGTGGCTTTCATTGCAACTAAAATCAAATCAAATTCTTGCTCGTGGCCAAGAAGGACTGCCATCTTCTTCACACTTATGTTCAATTCGTGCCTTCCTGCAGACAGCCAGCTGGCTTTATATTCTTCCAACTCACAAACCCATTCCTCCCTCAGGGCCTTTGCACTTCCTTTTCCTTTTGCCTGGACATTTTCCTCCATCCTTCCTATGCCTAGTTCCAGCTCATCATTCAGGTCCCAGCTAAAAATCCCAGCCTGGGAGAGACCTTCCCTCATCAGTGTATCCGAAGGAGCTGCCCTTTTCCAAATTTGTTTGTCACACTACCATATTCTAGTGTCATGATTCAGTTTTCACCAACTGTCTAAGTTACTTCTTTGTTTCCTGGTTTATTTTCTATCCCCATAGTAGAATATAAACTCTGTGAGAGCTGGCCCTGGCTCTGTCCTTATCATCTCCTGGGTCCACTGCCAAGGTCAGGCCTGCCATGTTCTGGCCATTCAGTAACTAGTTGATGGATGAATTGCTTTAAAACACAGTGCACTTGTTCATCTCATTTTGAATGTTATCATTTGTCCTTGGGTGACCTCCTAGGATGGGGCTGTGCACTCAACAGTCTTCATGTTGGTGAATTTCTCTTTCCTTTACTGACCCAGTTGCCTTTCCTAGTCTGAAGCCCTCCTTCACCTTTCCCCTGAGCTCATGATGTAGTAGATTGCCCCCGTCCTATGAGAACTAGATTCTTGTGGAAGACAGATTCCATGCCTGTGTGTCAGCTGCTGCTGGTATGGGAGTGGCCTGGGAACAAGCTTGTTCTTGGTCAGGGTGCACCAGGCCATTGAGCAGTGGTTGTCTGTCCAATTCCTATGCCTCTTCCCCAGGCATCCCTGTGTACTCCCCTCCCCAACCATTCCCAGCCAAAATGGTGGTCTGGTCTAGCTTGTGCTCACAGGCCTCTGGGCCTTTCTTTGGGTGAGGCCAGTTTGATTCTGGCTTCAGCTGTTTATCCTTCAGGCTCAGCTCCAGCTGAAGCCCATGGTGGTCACTGGCTGACCTGGGATGCTCCCCAGGTGTGACTGACTCGAATCCCCAGATTCTCCAAGTCATTCACCCAGGGGGCATGCAAAAGTCAGTCCTTGTTTTGGGAGGACAGGCAAGGTCTAGGTCTCTAGCCAGGCAAGAACCAGGTACAGGAAGTAGCATCTATTTATAGGCCAGCAAGTCCCTGTTCCAGCAGTAGGTGATAAGTGGATAGTTTAATAACATGTTGCCCTCTCCCACCCCCACCCCAGGGTTGGGGTTGCTACATTAACCACACAGGTCCTTGTGCTGTAATAGGCTGACCCTACCTGGGCTGGCATCCAGAATGGCTGAGCTCCAGGCTGAGCAGAGCTGTTGGGGGTGAAGGGGCTGAGAGGGCAAGGCCAGGGGCGGTGGCCACCATAGGCACCCACCCTGGCTCCCTGGACTGGGTGCTGAAGGAGGTGCTGGGCTCAAATAGGGAGTAGGGACTGAGAATATAAGCCTAGTCCATGGCTTGGGGACACTGCTCCGGGGGCAGGGGAAATGGTGGAAAAGAAGGCTGGGGGATGGCACAGAGGGAGGCAGATGGCTGGGGCAGCCCAGGGGGCAACCAGACCTCCCTGGAACCTGGAAGGAGTCCTGCTGGCCTGCCTAACCACCACCACCCCCAAAAAAGAAAAGCAAACCCACTGCCATTGAGTCAATTCTGACTCACAGCGACCCCCATTGGGTTTCTGAAGCAGTAAATCTTTATAGAATTAGATTGCCAGAATTCTTTACAGAATTAGATGGGAACTCTGGTGGCCTAGTGCCTAAGGCATTTGATTGCTAACCAGAAGGCTGGAGGTTCAAACCCACAAGCCACTCCCCGGAAGGATGGTTGGGTAATCTACTTCTGGAGCGATACCACCTCAGAAACACAAGGAGGGGGTCACTATGAGTTGTATCTGACTCAACAGCAGTGAGTTTGGTTTTTTTTTTTTTTGGTTGGTCTTCTTTCTGTGCAGTGGTTGGTAGATTTGAACTGCCAACCTTCCTGTGAGCAGTCAAATGCCTTAGGCACTATGCCATGTAGCCCTGGTCAACCTTGCTCCTGCCCCATCCCTCCCTTCTTCCCCATCCTTTGTCTCCACATGGAGTATTCTCTTCTTTTGCTTTGGATAACCTGGGGTAGTCCCTCCCTGTGGATGGGCCCCTCCCTCACTATCCCTGTCCCTTGTCCTCCCTCTCCTGCTCGTTGTTTAGGCTCAATTGATGGGCCAACCCTGGAGCTAATGATGTGTGTGAGGGACCAACCAAGTGGTTGTCCCAACACCAACCCAGGGAACAGAAACACCAGCTCTAGAAACTGACTTCAAACTTCTAGAAATTCCTTCCTTCCTTCACTCTTGTGACGATCCCACTTGTGATGTGCCAGGCACTTTGCTGTGGACACTCTAACCAAAAAACAAAAACAAAAACACCAAACTCACTGCCATAAGTCGTTTCTGACTCATGGTGACCCCCATTGGGTTTCTGAGGTGGTAAATCTTTACGGAAGTAGATTGCCCCATCTTTCTTCTGCAGAGTGGCTGGTAAGTTTGAACCACCAAGTTTCTGGTGAGCAGTCAAATCTGGGGACCCAGAAATTCATAGTCCCTGCCCTCATCCAGCCAGATAGCCAGAAGTCAAGGGCAAGTTGGACACCAAGATGATGGAGCCCTGGGGTGATGTGGTGGGGAATGTCAGAGCACAGAGGACAGTATACAGGCTCCTGGCTGGGCTTCTGGGAGGTCACTGAGCCCCTGAGATTGTAAGAAAATTCTGTGTGTGCCTTGTCCTGGGCCAGGGCAGACAGCTCCATCAGCTGCTCAAAGGAATTTGTGCTGGTTATTCTCAGTTTGCACCTGCCCCTCCCTTCTCCATCCTTCTCTGCTCTGCTCTGCCCAAGGAGACCCACCCTGTGGACTGCCTCACCTGGGCTCCCTCAGTGTCTGATTGGCTTGGGTCTGAAGCCATCAGCAGAAGGCCAGAGGGGGCAGGAGAGAGGTGGTCTCTCCTGCAGAGGCATCCTGCCCCAGCTGTAGCTCCGGCTGGCGCCTCCACCAGCCAGTCACTGCCCTCATCAGCTCCCGTACCCTGCTCCCCATCAGACTTGGGGTGGTAGTCGCTTCCTGCAGGGGCCAGCCCCTGGGTATATCAATGTGGCTTCATGCTCCTCTAATTAGTTCCTTTATCACGCTCCCTTCTCAATCCCAGCCAAGGGGTCCTGTGTCCGGTCTATTGTGGGACCTGTGAGCCAATAAGATGACACTAGAATAGACCACTCAGGACTCAGTCCTTTATAACCCAGGAAACTAAGGCCTAGAGACATTTGTTCAAGGTTGCATCAAAGGCTGATGCTGAGTCCAGGGCTCCTGGGCGGAGGGCAGCCTCTCACCTGGGCAGTAGCAGCGCAGTACCCCGGGCTGAATCAAGGACGCAGGCACTGAGATCTGGTCGAACAGGCAGCTGTAGTTATTGCTGGCTTCTTGCCACGGGCCTGTGATCAGGACCTTCACTCCTCCCTGGAGGGAAGAGAGACAAGTGAGCCCCCCCTCCCTCACCCCAGTGCACCACTGGCCTGGCCCCCTGGACAGTAGCAGCTACACTGCCCAAATGGTGGTCTGTGCCCCTAACGCTACCCAGTGCGTGTAAAACATGCAGATTCTTGGCCACAGCCCGCAGATTCCAATATACCCTGACTTTTGAGGACCACTGTTCCAGCGCTGTAGACAGGAGGAGGGGTCCCACAGCCAGGTCCCTTTACCCTTTAGGGTCCCCCAGATGCCCCTGGCCCAGCATAGGCCTGCTCTTCTGCCCCCTGCCCTTCTCCAGTGTCATTTTCAGTTCTAGCTGAGAGGGAACGCAGTTCTCCAAGCCTTTTCAGCCCGTGAAGCACCTGAGGACTGGCTGAGGGGGAACCCTGGAAGGATGGGAAGGGAAGGGAGAGCTCTGTCCTTTGCTTGTGGATGGATTGAGGGAGCTCTGACTTTTGCAACAAGCCTGAGCATCTGAGCTTCGCTCCAGGGACCTGAGGTTCTCTGGCGGGGAAATTGGGGTGGGGGCAGGACCCCCTGGGGATGTAAGAATGGAGCTAGGGAGGGAATTCAGTGGGGGAGGAGTGGATGAAGACAGAAATGAGAAAGACTGCAGAATCAGAAAATGGGGGCGAAGTGCTCAGACATGGAGGGCTCAGAGCTGGCCCTGGGAGCTCCGAGTCTGGGGCTTGGAGCGGGGGTGGGGTGGGGTGGGGGTGGTTGGGATGGGTGGAGACCGAGCAAGAGCCCTCCCTGCCTTTGCTGAGCCATTGAGGGCACTTGCGTCTGTGCTGCCGCCCACACAGCCAGACGGGCCTCCGCAGCGCCCCCTTCATGCAAGCCACTGACGCACACATGGCTGGGCTGGGGCTGGGGCCAGGGAGATTACCTCAGGTGACCTTTCTCTGCTCAGTGGGGAGAGGGCTGCTCACAGGGACTTGAGGTGCCCGGGATAGAGAGAGCATGGAAAAAGCTTGCACCTCCTGACCTCCTGCTCGGACCATCCCTGGGACAGGGGATGGGGCTGAGGCCATGGAGTGAGGGGTTGTCAGGACAGTGGCCCTTCCCACTGCTGATGGCTGTGGTGGCCACTTATCCCCGTGCTTGGGGAAGTCCTGCTTTGTGACACAGTCCTGGTTCAATGATTAAGGATAGCACCTCCTTTTATTCGTAATTGTGTCCCACGTGAACCCTGAATTACATGGCCTCCAATGTAAGGCTTAGATAGCCAGGGAGAGGGGCTGGTTGCCCAGTGGAGGGAAGTGGGTGGCTCTCCTTGAGGACTAAAGAAGGTGGGAGTGATGGCTGCCCTGGCTTTCCTGGCCATCCAGAGCACCGTCTTCCCCTACGCCCTAACTGGGCAACACCTTTCCCAGCAAGGGGGGCCAAAATCTGCTTAGGACAGGGTGGAGAGTGCCACCTAGTGTCCAGAGGGAGTAGGCGGAGAGGTGCTCCTACTTGAGACTGGGGTGGTGGTGGTGGTGATGGTGGTGGTGGTGTGGAGAACTGTGATCTTTGACCTCACCCATCCTGCTGCTAAAGGACAGAGAGGCCAGACTCCCAGCCGGCTGCCTAGTGCTAGCAGGAAGTTGGCTTGCTCTCTCCTTCCAGTCATTCATTTATTTTTGCTTGGCCTCTCCTTGGACTAGGTCCCAGGCCAGTTGGCCCCTCCCCGTCCTGCCTACCTGCCACGACCTTGTTGCAGGGCTTGTTGCTGAAGTTCCCCATAACATTCCTGGCCTTGGGCAGCAGCAGCAGGAGGGGGTGTTTCCAGCCTGGTAGGGGTGGCTCCTCCACAGCCCAGCCCAGGACAGCCACAGGGAAAGGACTCTCTGTCTGGAAGGCATTCCAACTGTGCTCCTATGGCCCTTTGGGCTGGGATGGCTTTGGAGCAGTCATTTCACTGCTAGACAACTGAGACTTTGAGACCAGTAAGAGAGCGCAGCACGGGCAGCCCAAGCAGGAGGCCAGCCCTTTCCCCTCAGAGGCGGTATGTTCTCAGGTAAGCTACCTGACCTCTCTGGGGGCTCTCTCCACTCTAACATTCCTTGGTTCTCCATATGGCTCCCCAGGGAGATATGGAGCTACATTGGAGTGGTGAGGTGAGGGGTCAGCACCCTTGGGACTGTGGCTCAGAGAGGGTCCCTGACTGGGACGTGTGCCTGATAGAGCAGAGTCTGGAAGCACTAGAAGGCCAGCGCAGGGCCCAATCCTCCCTGGATCCTGGGAAGTGAAAGAGCAGTGGCTTCAAAAGGCCCCAAATAGTTACCATGAGAGAAAAAAAGGGGGAATAATAACCCCAATCAACAGCTGTGAGTGTGGAGCTGGGGCTGCTGCGAAGCACAAAGGACTGCAGAAATTACTGGAGAACGTCAGCCTTTCTCCATGGAAACCACTGCAGGACAGCTCAGCCTTCATCAGTTCAGGGCACGGTTCCCATGGAAACGCATGCCTGACGTGAGGGCCTGATGGCTCTAATTGCAGCCTCTTCTACCTGGTGCAGTCAGAGTGTCAGTGGCGGGAGATGATGCAGAAGGACTTAGAGGGCAGGGAGGGGCAATGATGCCATCCTAGGGTTCAGTGCCCTGGGGGGTCCAAAGATAAAAGGTACAGATTTCCAATGCATTCAGAGTGGATCATCAGGCACAGGGGCACCCTGTGTGTGTGTGTGTGTTGGTTACAGATTCAACCAGAGGTGAATTGGATGACTGAGCAGAGAAGGTGGAACTGCCTGGCCCCAAAAAACACACCATAAGAGGAGGACCACTCGGAGTAGAGCTACAGAGATGGCACCAACCACAATTGTCCTTCAAAGTGTGTGCTGGAGGCCATGGAGTGTTAGTGCGGCCAAGTGGTGGCTGATCATTTAGTCTGCAAGAAAGAGGGCCCGGGGTCTCTGCATCTTGATGCAGAGCCCTCAGTGAGGGTGGTCAAGCCTGGGCCAGATGGAGAAACCATCCCCTGCTGGCAGAGGAGGGCAGGGGGCAGAGCA